AGGGGGGATTACGTATATTGGATTCATCTTTACAATATCGGGCATTGTCTCTTCAATGGATAAAATCACTGATATTTTCACCAGAGGTTCCCTGGCTACCAATGGCCCTAGAGCAAATTCGGTGTTTGGCGTTATCCACAATTGAAGGGATACATCCACTCACATGGATAGAAAATCGGTATTGGTCTATTCCAAGAGGAAACCTACATTCACATGAAGAAGGGATGGGGGGGGAAGCAAGTAGGGATAGTTGTCAAGATAAATTTTGAGGTTCTCTTATCAAAACCTAGAAACAACTTCCACTCCCTGACATATCATTTCCATCAAGATATGAAGAAGTGTTAAGACAACCTTTTTTGGGGAATAGATGGATCACAGACAACAATGGGTGTATTTACAATAGTTCTTAACCTCCATGGTCAACCTGGGTTAAAAGGGGAATCCTGAGGATTAAGGATATACGGGATCCATCGGTAAAGAACTGGAAGTCTGTAGACTTCACTCTCAAATATGCTCTCCACCTACCTGAAATGTTGGACCAAATAATTTTTTCCATTCCTCTGGCTTGGGTAAAAACGCTAAGAAAATGATACCGCCTTGAGGATTCAGATTGGGTGGCAGGATATGATTCAGATAATGTATGGATAATAGGTCAGGTTGTTTGCCAATATCAGGATGGAGCAATGGTAAATATTTTCCGTTTACAACAGAATTTGTTTTTGGCTAGGTATGATCCAGACAGGGTGGAGTGGATGCACAACAAAATGTTATACAGGATTAAGATCCTACTTCACACAATACCTAGCCACACAACACTTGCTCGATGACGGGCCCACTACCCGGAATCCCAATAGCAGAGCTTCCACTTGACACTGAGGAATGGACATGGAAGGTTTCGAAGAGAGGTAAGCCCATAACGCTTCAATCCCTGACTGTCAACGCAGCCTATCGGATGTTGAGACTCAAAGTCGATGCTCCAGCAATTGTGCAAGACAGATGGGTAAAACATCTCAACATCCACATAGACCAGTTTAGATCAGTACAATGGTTTCGATCCACTAAGGAAAGACCAGTCAAATTTGCTTCACTTCAATGGCAGATTACGCATAGATGTTTATCCACCAATGACTGGTTGATAGATCTGTCAACGTTGGAACAATGGGGTTTAGCATTACCATAGTGTCGATCTTGTTACATGGCATTCCCCTCTCGTAAATATAGAGAAACGATTGAACACATTTTTACTCAGTGTCCAGGGTCCATCCTTATGTGGCGACATTGGGACTGTATTTGGTGAAGACTAACGGGTCTCGAGTGACCTTGAGAATGGAGAACCCTTTTACTAGGACCATGGAATCCGGTTGACCTGCCCCTCTCAACCTTTCAGTCAAATCTATTTTGTCTTGGTAGGAAAGCTATCATATGGACCATATGACAAAGGAGGTGTGTATATGTAATGGAGGAGGTAAGTATGGAAGGGGTGAAATTTTCTCAAAATATCAAACAATTTGTGGAAATAGAAATTTGGGCTCAATGGGCTAATCTTAAAGTTAAATTAAAATTTCTAACTCAGAAGAAAGACATCAATAATTTTATTCTCAAATTCACAATGGACTGGTTAGGGGGATCTCAGGAACAAGGAATTGGACAAGTGGTATGGCCTGATGAGAACGAGTCTGTGATGCCTCTCAAGAAGTGTTACTTGCTACAGTTTAGTGACTGGTTTGATATTCAGCCAGGGGAATTTCTCAGAGATGCTGCATGCTTTTCTGAACTGTTCCCTCCCTCGGAGTTAGCTTTAGTAGAACCTCAATGGTTTGGGAGGGGTGAAAAATGATTCCTCATCATCAAGAGGGTTAGAACTACTAGAGGTGTTTGTCCTATATGGCGGTCTGATAAGGACTGAAGAGGTGATTTTGATCTTTTTGACTCTTATCAAGTTGTAATACTGGACATTTTTATGTATAACGGACGCTGAACCCGGTTTTCAGCAGGTGATACTCCCCACCAATAGACTGGAGTCTCAACTGGGTGATTAGGAATGACTGCTCTTATCACCATCCCTAATGACTTCAGTTGTGTTTTGATTACAAAAAAAAAAAAAAAAAAGGTTGGTACTGGGGAAGGTTGTGTTGCCCTGTCACCCTAGCAGAAGGGGGTAAGAGACCAGGTGAGTTCTGGTACGAGGACTGAAAGCCTGGACCGACGATTCGTTTGTTGAGGGGGGGAGGTTTGGATAGCTAGCGAGTTCAGTTTTGGACCCTTTGTCTTTATGGTGTTAGGGTTGTTTCCAAAAAAATACGTCTTTTTTTTTTTTTTTTTTTTTTTAGTGAACTTCGTATACGGAAAACCTACTTAATGAGGTGATAAGAGCATCCCCGATAAGTAGGCCCCTGTGTCGAAGACTCCATCTATTGGTGGGGAGCTACACCTATTGGAAATCGGGTCTAGCATCCCTGTACAATGATGAAAGAATGCTGTCACGTGGAGGGGAAGGAGGATCGACCGGATTCATTGAGTGTGCGGACTCTTCGAGCGTCGAAATTATCTAATCACGAGGAAGCTACTTCGACTCGGGGATGTTCTCCTTCGGACCGTTTGATGGTCTTCTTTTCATCCGTGTCTTCATCAGGGTTGATCTTTGGTAATAGCATCGCCATCATCATCTTTATCATCATCAGCATTATTAGCACCAGTTTCCTGACGGGTGTGGGTAAGGTTTCGGCTTTTTTTTTTTTCACTCTATTTTCTTTCTGTGATCTCCCTTCCTCTTTCATCTCCTCCTGCCTCTTCCCTTTAATCTCCTCTTGCCCTCCTTTTTATTCTTCTTATTCTTTATTCATTCTCTCCTCTTCTTTCTCCTTTTCTGTCTCTGCTCTGCTTTGGCTTTGCCCCACCGCCCCGTCAAGGAAGGAAGAGGAGGACAGCGGGGTGACAATAGGTGGAAGCGGAGGAGGGAAGAGGGTGGGAGGGGGTGGGATAGGAATAAGGAGGAGATAAAGGAGGGAGAGAAGAGGGAAAAGGAGAGAGGTAGTAGGCGAGGAGGTTCGGGGATTGGGATTTCAAGAGGAAAAGGGATGGGGGAGAAAGATTTACTTCGCGTCGTGTCAGTCTTTGCAGCGTAATAATCACTTTCATCATTGTAGGTGGACTCAGTAATACTTACTAATTTTGTTCTTCGCTTTCCTTCTTTTTCTACAATCAGTTTTATATTCCCAACTTATTATTTTATTAATTATTCATTATCCAATCAACTAATTATCATCAACCCAATCACTATTTTAATTAATCGATTTTAATAATATCCATAACTAATTTTCTAAATATTTTCAATCGTTATCCATCTTCATCACCTTTAAATCCAAGTTTCTTTTTCCTCTAAAACGAACCAGAAAGGTATTTCTTTAAATACCTAAATTTCTAATTGATTTCTCTCTGTTTTTCCAATCAGTCTTCACTAAGAAGTTTTCCTTTAAAAAAAATCTTAATTTTTTATGCGTAATTTTTTATGTTTCGTAATGCAAGTTTGGTTCCTGATATCGTAATGACAGTTGGATTCCTGTTTTCGATAGGCTCCTCCTAGAGTATACGCTTTCATTTTTTATGGTTGGAAAAGGGGGATCAGAGGAGAGCTTCACTCTACAGGGGTGACACAAGGAGGGAGGTGTAGCCCTGGAGGGGGTGTGAGCAGAGTTTGTGGGTTACCTTATTCTGGGGTTGGGGTGGGGATACTCACACCAGCGGAGGCAGTATAGGGTAAAGGGAGGACAGAGGCATACTTTGGGAGGGAATTGTATGCCTTTGTGGGTTAAGGGGGGGGGAGGTGGGACTGTCCTGTGTTGGGGTTGTGATGGGTTCCTTACATTCTTGGTAATCCGTTTCAGCGGAGGCAGCGTTGGGACGGAGAGGGAAAGAGGGGGAGGGGGAGACCATTCTTAGGAGTAATAATACTAATCATCATAATCATCATTAGATTAATCATCATCATCATCATCATAATCATCATTAGATTAATCATCATCATCATCATCATCATCATCATCATCATCATCATTAGTATCATCTTTTTTCTAGTTTTCTGGATTCTGGCAGCATCTAGCCTTCGTCCTTATCTGGGGTATAGGCACTCAGAGATGGTAGAACCCGGACTGATGTCAACAAAGTTGTTCTGTTCTGTGCCCCTGGTGCGGCGATGCCAGAACGACGCTGGCCGGAGATGGGGTGTTGCCCTGTAACTTGCAAATCGCAGGAGTGTGAGGCCTTGTAGAGAGATCTGGGTGTTGCCGAGGGAGGAAAGCAATTCAGTGGCGAATCGGGGGGGGCTGCTAGGTGGCGAGAAGAGATCAGTAATGGGTGACGTTGGTTAGGATGGTATTGTTTCTAAGTAACTTTGTTCTGGTATAGGGAAGTTCAGGTGTTACTCTAGGTTTAGGAGGCCAGAATAGGTGATATAGCATAGTCGTAATCATCATCATCAGTAGAGTCAGCATCATTATTTTCATCATCAGGATCATTATCATCATTATAGGAGGGACGCCGAGCCCGGTTCTCAGTAAGTTTGGTTCGATCTCTCCGGGCAGACTGTGAGGACCCCGGCCTTAATATTTTCTTTTGGAATATCAGCCTTGGGCACTGGGCCCATTAAAAAAAATAAAAATAAAAAAATAAAATAAAATAAAAAAAATGATGAAATTGTATCTGTTGGAAATCAGGTCAAGCGTCCGTATGCAATGGCGTGAATGTACGTGCTGGAAAACGGCTTCAGCGTCCCTATCCATCTGATCTATAAAATCTCTAAAACAAACTGAGTCATCAATCCCATCATGCGAAACCCTAACCATGATGTGATGTGTATCACTATGATGTAATTTGTATCTGCTAAAAATCGGATCCAACTACCTATACCTTGTTGTATAAATATGTCCACCAGTCAGAAAATGTTTATATATGTCTGTATTTTATATCCATCAAACTCAAATCGCGAAACCCTAAACACGATATGATGCATATAATCTTTGTTAAAATCTCTATCAATGATGAGAGATGTATAATACGGACATCAAGTCCAGTGTCCAATATGCATTATCATGTGAAACTGTCAAGGGGCACCTCCTGCTAGCTAATCCCTAATCAGCCCACCACCAACCAACGGGACAATCAACCCCCCCTGATTGATATTGCAGGTCAGGCAACATCAATCACCCCCGGCTATCTTACTCCTATCCTCTGCCAAACAACAAGAAGGAATTCCATGTTAAGATTGGAGGGGGGGGAAGCAGTAAACCACTTTCCATCTCACCCCCATCTCCCACCCCGTCCACTCGCAACATTACTCTCATCGCGCTGATGAAAATCTTTGTTGCACGAACACCACTTCCTACCCCGCTGCTCCCTTGGTCGCCGTCGCCGTCATCGTCATCATTGTTGTTGTTATTGTTGTTGTTGTTGTTGTTGTTGTTGTTGTCGTCACTATCGTTGAAGGGGGGGGAGATAGCAAACCCCTTTTCCGAACCAACCCCAATCTCCCCGACGTCCGCTTGCGACATCTCCCCCATCATGTCGATAATGATCACAGTTGCACGGATACCTCCGTCAACCCCGCTACTTTCGTAGTCGTCACTTCCATCGTCGTCGTCGTTGCTGTTGATATTATCGTTGTTGTTGTTCTTGTTATTGTTGTTGTTGTTGTTGTTGTTGATGTTATCTCCGCTGTTATCATTGTTGCCGTTGTTGTTGCCGCACCCAATTTTGTTGTCGCACGCAAGTTTATCACTATCCATGATGTCCATGTAACTGATGTTGTTGCTATTGTTGGTGTTTTCGCCGCAATCATCTTCGTCGGCCACCAATCCTCCCTCCAACCCATTATCCCTATCACCCTTGCCATTCATCTCACCCATCTCACCACTTCTCTGTCGATTCTCCAACTGATTGCGTAGATCTCGCCCCAGTGTAAAGAGGGTTTTGCAAGCAGCCATCCTATCATTCAACCGCCTCCAGTCGATGTAGACTTCGAGCCGGGGATCCAGCCCTTCCTCCAGCTCCCACATGATGTCTAGCATCTCCTAAGTCCTATCTTCCAACCACTGGTCCATCAAGATCGCTCCCCCATCGATCCGTACCCCTTCCTACTGCCGCAGCATAAGCATCCCCACTATCGTCTGCATCTGCTTGCATCCCTCCTCCAGTGTGGTAATCCATTCTTCTGCTCGATGTTGTAGCTTCTCCACCAAATCCATCTCTCCCCCCATTGGCTGCGCCACTCGCACGGTTCTACTGAACCCCTTATAATCACACAGCTGACGTGTCATGGGACGTCTACGGCTCCAAACAACAAGCGTCACGTGGCCACAAGCCACTTCGCACCTATTGGGCACATGCACAGGCCCAGTAGGTTGGAAGCTGTTCTCCGCAGGCGCCAGTCGAGCCGGGGTGACCGGGCCCTACCAGTTCGCCGGCGTCAGGGCGCTAGCGCTAGCGCAGCTCTTTCTCATTTAATCATGATGCCAATATGTACCTATTCTTTAATCGTATCAATGAACTTTGGGCCATCTAACCATGTGCCCTCCGACTCATGGGTACACCTTCTCACCCAAGTAATAGGTCTTTTTTTTGTTCTTAGCAATTGGGCCTCAGTCCGTGATGTTGTGGGATCCGGGTCATTGGTGTTGAATGGATTATCTCCTTTAGGGTTACAGTCCCTCCCTGCGAGGGTTACACAAGGTGGGTAGTGTGATCCTTGAGAGGGTAGGGGCGGTACTGAGGGTTTGTCTTTTTCTGGGCCACACCGATTTTTTGGTTGGATCAGCTATGGCGGTTGGGGAGAGAGGACAAGGGGTGCTGATGCCAACAGGATGAGAGGTGAGAGGGTTGTTCCCGTTGGAGGGGGTGGAGCAGGAAGGAAGGGGGATCTTCGGCTCTGCTGGGGCATACTTTAGGAGGTACTGTATGCGACTTAGAGAGCCGGAGGGGTAGTGTGGGGGTTGTTCTGAACAGGGGCGGGGAGGTGAGGGGGCGCCTTCCCGCAGAGGCAGTGAACAAACAGGGGGATGCTTTTTGGGGAAGAAGAGTAATCCCTTTGGTTCTTGTGACCCCTTTCATGTAACTGAAACTCAATAGGCGTTGGACTTTTCATGGGGTTTTCCCTCTTCCTGTGGGAATAGTAGGCGTTGAAACGCTCATGTGATTTTTAGAATCTTTTGACTTTCTGTTTTCCTAGTTGAAAAATTCTTCCAAGGTTTGGTGTTGAAGCCAGGGGGTGGTGGTGTTGTGACAGTGGGAGATGACGCACTCTGCGGCGAACGGGCTAGCCTGTAGGGTTGGAATAGGGTACAGCGGTGGTGAAGATGGTGTCTTCACCGTGTAAGACTTGCTAGAGCAGGGTTGAGAATGGTTTTTTGGGGGGATATTTGCAAGATGCATGATGGGATCTACAACTATGGTGCTGATTGGTAGCTTGACTGGTATTTGCCTTAATCCTGAGTCTTGGTGGTTTGCGGATAGACGAGGCTAGAACGACGCTGGTCGGTGCTGGGGCTTGGTTGCGCTGCCTTGTAACTCAAGTTGTATGAGGGCATGAGACTTGGTAGAGAGATTTAGGGAGTTGTCGAGGGTGGAAGGCACTCTAGTGTCTTTTGGTGAGTTGGTGCCTAGTCGATGTTGGTCGGAGCCCGAGCGGGTCGCTTTGCCCTGTGGCCCAGCAGATGGGGGGGTTCTGGGGTCGGTCGTGCCACCCTGTAACCTAGTAGTTGGGGGCATGAGGCCTGGTAGAGATTGGGCATCGGGATATAGGGGTGAGGCAGGTAGGGTTGGGTTGCCGAAAGGCCCTAAAGCAGGTGGTTCTTTCGTTCTGAATGCTCCTTTGACCCGAGCTTTGGATGATAGAGAATTTTAGTGTTCTTGCGCACAATTGCTTTTCTTAGCCGAAGTCGGGTAATGGCCCCGGTACCTCAAGGATTTTCCCATAAATTTCTCAATTTCTCAATATGATCTTGAATGAGACGTTGGGCCCGGTTCCCAAAACGTGTTGCTACCCATGAATAGATTGGAGCATGTTCCATTT